TGTTTCCCAGTGTTGCCTTGTGCTGTGTCCTCATGGGAAGGGACACAGCAGCTGTTTTCATCTTCTGTCGAGTACTAATCCCATCTACAAGGACCATTGGGACTTAGTCACTTCCATTGCGATATTATCTGTCATACTGGGAAATAGATTCCAACATATGAATCAGGGAGGAGGGAAGAACCTCACTCACTCAGACCATAGTGTCCCCCTTACCCGAGCTGGAAGTTTCAGATATAGTTTTATGTTGTCAGCACTTGGTAAATATATTACTAAGCAAGAAACATTGTAATTTATTCTTTAAAAACTGTCACTATCTTAAACTACTTAAGAAAGCACTAGTATTTCCATCATTTTACAAAGAGTGTCCAAGAATGTTTGATATTTGGTCTGTGAGGCAGAAACACTGTCCCTGTTCCTGTCATCAGCCCTCCTGACAACTAATTCTGTGACTTTTATTGTTTTTTTTTTTTTTTCTGGTTATTTTACGTGTACACATTTTGCACATCTGCTCAAGGAGCTGTAAGCTGGCCTTACAGGAATTGAATTTTGATTGTCCTCAGACTTTGTGAGGGAATGCTTTGTAATGAGTCTCACTGAGTGGACATTTTGCAGTTGAGGGGAAATAGTTCCAAATCAGAGAAGACAAATAGAGAAGTAGCAAGGACTTGGCACAAATAGGGCCTAGTCCCCAGCCTCTCTGTATACCCAGCCCCTTGGGGTAGGACTGTGAGGGCAGAAGGTTGAACAGGCCCCATCCTCCCTCAGGCATGAGAGGCCCTGGGACAGTCCATATCACATTCTCTCTCAGCAGCATCTGCGTACACTTCAGTTGGTTTATTTTCTCACTAAAAAAAGTGTGATATAGTTTTGATATTCTTTTTCTGTTATGTATGATTAGCCCTCATTTCAAATGGGATTGGTTCCCTTTTATATCTTTTCATTCAGTTCTAGAATGACAATAGAACAGATTAATACTGAAAACGAAAGTGTCTAGCCCACTGTAGTATAAATGCTTTCATCTTTTTAAGAGAAACAAGCAGCAAATCTGGTGCTTAGCAATTAGAGGGTTAGAAGTTAACTTTGATGACTTGGTAAGTAAAACAATTTACCAAAAACATGGTATGTACAATATAAGTTGCTTTATCATCTGATATAATAGCCCATTAAATTAGGCTCTATCCATTTAAATCTAGACCTTTGTCTATTATTATGGTTTAGTTTAAGCTTTTGTTATTTCATGCCAATTATTTCAGATCACTAACTGTACTTGTTTAGCTTATTTTTTTATATTCATGTATATATGGGATAAACTTTTATAAGTTTTGAATTCACAGTTCTTAGTGCCAACTGGTTTAATTAAAATGATGAGACTTAAAGTAGGATGTATGGAAGAGGATCTGGTCAAATAAAGAAGCCATTGTTACTGAACTCGCTGTTTCTTCCTGCCGTTGAGTGTTGTCAGTGTGTTCCTGTGATTGAGACTTTTAAAGTTGCAGCAGGGTGGGTGTGCAGTGAGATCCCTTCCCTTGCTTGCTTTTCTTTGCAGGGTACAGGGCACAGGGCACATGGCATTTTCAGCTTAAGTCACTTTGATTCTGATAAACTTAGGTAAACTTTCAAATAATTATAATCAAATGTATAGAAGATATTTTATGTTCATAAGTGATTTGACACATTTTTTGACCATATAATATTGTTTTATGGTATAATGATTTTTACTAAACCATTTTTTTATTGTGCATTTGGATTTTTCTATGTAACTGTTGGTACTGAGATTTACGTACAGCATGTTTGCACAAATACGAGTACATTTTTAGTCATTGAGAAGTTATATTTATGAAAACTTAAATGATTATATTTACTGTAATCAGGGAGTCTTACCCTTCAAAAACTTGTATGCCATCTCTTATAATCAGCCTTAGCATGGGAGAAACACTCAGTTAAAAGGTGCCACAATAGCACAATCCTCATGAACATTGCTAGATTTCTTGTCAGTGAAATTGAAATAGCTTCAGGTTTTATTCTCCTTCCTTCTGCCCCCACTTTAATGTGTATGAAATAGTGGCCAAGCACAGAGTTTAAAAAGGGTAGTACATATTTGCAACGCGCATTTCTTTTTAAGTGTTCTAAACATCTGAAGTCTTATTACTTTATTATTAATTTTTGTATTTGTGTGTGTATGTGGGTATGTATGACTGTGTATATGCACAGAAGCTGAAGGGAACAGTCTATGAACTTGAAGTTAGACTAACAGCCAATAAGCCCCAGTGATCCTCCTGTCTCTGCCTGCCACAGTATTGGAGTTACAGGCACACCTGGCCAAGTCTGACTTTTTATGTGGGTTCTAGGGATTTGAACTTAGTTCCTTATGTTTGCAAAGAAAGCACCCTTAACCACTGAGCCATCTCTCCAGCTCCATCCATAGTTGTAGACAAATTAAATAGCAGTCTTCATCCTTTCTAAAAAAAATCTCAGTGTTTCTAGATATGATTTTCCTTCATGGTCCTAGGCCCATTATAAAGTTAAAAATGTATAGTAATTTTTAAAGCATAAACAAATTATATGATTGCTAGAAGTTTTACCCCTTAAAGTCCAAGGACTACATAGGACAGTGTCAGTATCATTGTTCCCAAGCTCCCTTGCTGGATCTTACATGCTGATAGGATATCATCAGTTTACTTCTGTGACTCTAGGACTTCCTATGGGTGCTGGGAAGTCTCAGTGCATACAGTGATTGATGTAAATGCGTTTGAAAATGTAGTCATTTCCTCCCCCCATTTGTACTGTTTTAATGGAGTTTTAGTAGAAAGTCTGTTACTTATACACTCAGTAATTTGGAGAACTGTTAAAGGAGTGCAGTTCTCAGTCAACTGGCAGTTATTTCCAAGGGGAATCTAGTGAGAGAGGGAAGGAGAGGAGGAGGAAAGGAGAGAGATGGAGGCAAGGAGGGATGGGTACTGGATGTGATAATTGATCAATGATTAAAACATGAAAGGACTTCTTGTTTATTTGAACACAGTGTCCACATTTGACTCTTAGTATCCAAAGCCTGCCGCTGATAGTAGTAAATTTGGGGGATTATCATCAACATTTGTAACTGTGCTTTTTTTTTTTTCTTTTCTTAATCTGCTTTAGAATGTAAAACACATTTCCCCAGAGATGGTCTTTGCAGCCATTATTTAAACAAGAGATTTCAGGGAAGTAGTAAACTTTTTCAGTTGGTTTGGTCTTTGATACTAACTACAGGAGTAATTACTTGGATTATCATTTTAACATAATTTTTCACCCAGCAATCCTTTTGAAAGTATTGTTTACTTAGATTGAAACATTGAAATGTTCCCTTTTGCCTGCAGTGCAACAGATTAAAAAAGAAAGAAACGCAGGCCAATCAACATGTAAAATTGGGTCAGTACATTGTTGTTGGGGGACCTATGTGTCGGTGGTCTGTGCTATGTGGAGACAAAAGGGGATTAGTCCCTCTGGGGAATTCAACACAGCTGTCCAGAACAGGAGAAGCATCTAGTTTCAGTGTAGCTTTCTGCCCTTGTGGATATTAAAAGGAGAAAGGGCTCAGGGCTGAAGCCAGAGGAATCCAGGATTGGTGTAGCCCCAGAGTGGTTAGGAAAATGGGACAAGCCACCTTGCCGCCCTTTGGAGAGGGGGTCTGGGAGCCGATTTAGAAGAATGCATGGGAGTGGTGGGTGGAGGACTGAGGGGTATTGTTTACAGGGTTTGGGCACCTGTAGAACTGCAGTGCCAAGCAAGGCACATGCTTCATATATCACAGGGACATGCACTGCGGTTGAGTTACGATTGCATAATGATTATGATTATATGAATACCATTACAATTATGAATATTGTATGAATATAGTTTTGATTATATAAACAGCCAGAGTTTAAGATGAAAATGCGCAAATGAGATTTCTTTGCTTCATGAAAGGAGATAATATGGTTTTTATTTTTTTATACATACGTGATCATACACACGTTCATCTTTTTTTATTACAGAAACCTAAAAAGAGAGTTGGTAGCAGTTATTTTAAACATTCTCTCTCTCTTTTTCTTAACTAGTTAGTAGATTTCAGATGCAAATACACTCCGATTATCCAAAATCAAATCTGTCACTCACTACTGGAGTATGGAATGCAGCTTTGATCTGAGGCTGTTGCACTCTGGGCAACTCATGTTCCATTTCCCAGCTCTGCCTTGAATTTTTTTTTTTGTATTGAAATGATACTGAAATTTGTCTTCTTAAATGCTTTCCTTTTGTGTGGGTGTATCTGGTCCCATTTCAGAGTTTTGTGCAGGCTCACATAGGTTTTAGAGTTTGAGCAAGAAGAGGTAAGTTTCTAGACTTAAGGCACCTCTGTGGGGTTAAAGTTGTGTTAATAGACCTGCAATCCACTAGTGGAAAAACAAGTGGCTGGGCTGAAGAAAATGCTTTGCTAACAAGAGCAGAGAATTGTAGGGCTGACTTTCAGCTCCAGCTTGTGAAAGGTGGGATCTCTTACCGCCTTCCCTTTCTTTGGGAAAACCCACCTGCCACAGCTCCATTCACACTTTCCAAGTTGGGCTTATTGGTTTTGTTATTGAATTTGCTTGGTTAGGGTGATCCATGAAGATCTGGTCTAAGATTTTAGTCTTGATATTTCAAATAAAACAAATGTAAAGCTGGGTGTGGTGACTCACACCTGTAATCCCAGCTCTCTAGAAGCTGAGGCAGGAGGATTGCTCTAAGTTTGAGCCAGTCTGGGAAATGAGTTACAGTGGGCTTATGGAGGGAGACCTGGTCGCAAGTAGAAACAAATCCAGGCATAGATTGACCTGACACACTTTGGGACAGCTCCAGGAGACTTTCCAGCACCAACCAAAATGTGGGCCCCTCCTTCACCCAGCGCAGGAAGTAAAAAATAAAGAAGGCTTCTGTGGCTTTTTTCCTCGTTTACCCTGCTAGCCCAGCTCTGATGTGTTTAAGTATTGTGTATCTCTTGCTTGCAGGCTGGAGGCTCGCAGGTCATCTTCACCAACCCACTAGAGATTGTGAAGATTCGCCTGCAGGTAGCAGGAGAGATCACCACAGGGCCCAGAGTCAGCGCCCTGAATGTACTCCGGGACTTAGGACTTTTTGGGCTGTACAAGGTGGGTTGATTCACTTGTGCTGAGTGGAGAAGCTGTGATCTACACAGTAAAATGTGAGGGAATGCAGATGCCACACACACACACCCTCAACCCGCCCCTCCCCCATTTGAAAGGCACTCAATCTGGAAGAATGGTCGATGGAGTAGAAAATCATAAAGAAGAAACCGGGACACTTGTACAAAGGCAGTGAGATACGCGCATGCGTACTTCTATTGTCATCTTCAGCAGTTTATGCCACTGCCAACAGGGACGCCTGTTCCACAGAACTGCTGGCTTCAGGTTCAGCCTTCTTGAGCCTTTGAGAAGTTTCCTTGGCTGGGTTTAGTACTACAGAAAAGTGCTGTGCTTCTTTTGAGTCTGAATTACTGCTATTGTTATCTTCCCAGTAGGAGCTTCCCTTTGTCTTAATAATTTGACCACAGTAAACCAGTAGTAGGGTTTGGTAGGATTCGGTCTTTAAGAAGTTAAGTGGTAGGATTTGTCAATAATGAATTCCATTAAAAAACAACAACAGAGTACTGTACTTTCACAAAATGCCAGTCAACAGAGTCCTCCCCTGCAGGTGGACTTACTCCCGTCATTACAGATCAGATGTAATGGAGCAGAAGCTATTATTTCTCTTTAACAAGGAAGAGTATTTCTTTGAATTCCTTTGCCTTGGTAGAAAGGAGAATACGTAAATTTTGCCTCTATAGGCGACAGTGTTTCCACAGCGTTGAATTTATTTATGGATCCATCACTGCAGAAATGTGTAAATTTACTTCTGTAGCTGCAAATTAGAAATTAGGAATGTCTAGATTAGAGCCACATAGCCATAGGGTGCTCTGGGGCCCAGCAGCCAGCCTTACTTGTCTCCACAGAGTGCCCCCACTTCTGCTTCTCATGCCTCTCCCCCCATTATTTGGGATTCCCTTTGAGAGGGAAATTTATAAACATTGTTTCTGTCTGTATTATCCTTTAAGGGTCCTTGAACTTTTTTTGTTGTCATAAAATCAGAGCCATTAGGGAAATCCATGCTTGGGTACAGCATTGGCCTGACTGGGTAGAGCCCAGGCATGGACTGGCATGGGCTACTGGCAACACCGAGGAAGGTGTTCGCTGCTCTTTCAGTGGCTGGGACAAGCTGTCTCTAGGTGGATGTCTGGGATCCCCCCAGTCCTCTGCTGTTTCAACATTGGGACGAGGGGGAAGGCTTGTTTTCCTTTCTGCTTTCCTTGGAATTGTTCCCTTTCACCATTGCCTCTGGCTTCCTGCCTGGCACTCCCCAGGCTCTAAACTGATGGAGATTGAATTGGTAATTTGTTAGTTTTGGGAGAGCTTGTGAATCAAGCCATTAATTTGGGGATTTGAGTCTAATGCCTCTCCTGCTTCCCCTTCTATCCCTGTGCTCACTCAAGTTTCTCCCCCATCAAAGCTAAGCGGAATTAAAAAAAAAAAAAAGTGGAATTGTGAGAGTTTTCATGAACCTTTTATTATTTATTTATTTATTTATTTATTTATTTATTTATTTATTTATTTATTTATTTATTTATTTTGTTCTTTTTGAGACAGGGTCTCCCTGTAGCCCCAGCTGGCCTGGAACTCACTATGTAGAACAGGCTGGCCTTGAACTCACAGAGATCTGCCTGCCTCTGTCTCCTGAGTGCTGGGACTAAAGGTGTGCACCACCACACCTGGCTTGTTCATGAACCTTAAGAAACAGCCTACTTTATTTACCACATAGAAAGGTTCAATTCTACAACACTGACAGGTTATAGAGATCTACTACGGAGCACACTGTGCCTGGAGTTTATATTATACTGTGCTTTAAAACATTTAAGAGTGTAGATCTCATGTATTCTTACTGCCACAGTAGATAAATTGATTAAATTTTAAAAACCTAAATATCAACTAGAAGTGCCAAAAAGTTCTTGGCCATCAGAATACTCCAGCTGTCCTGGGTTAGGCTGTACTCCACCTTCCCTTCTCCAGCGTCCTGCCATGCATGTTTGCGCCTGTCCCACTAGCCCACCCCATTCCTGTCACATCACTTCTAATGCTGTTTGAAGGACATCTCAGCTTGTCAGTGTTCCCCCCTCCCCACTTCCTATCCAGGCATTCACACTGTTTACACACTGTTTTGCACTGTTGTTTCACCATGTGACAGGGCGCCAAAGCGTGTTTCCTCCGAGACATTCCCTTCTCTGCCATCTATTTTCCTGTGTACGCTCACTGCAAACTCCTTCTGGCTGATGAAAACGGACACGTGGGAGGTATCAATCTCCTGACAGCCGGAGCCATGGCAGGTAACTGGAACTTTTTAACCAAAAGAATTCTCTTAAAAAAGTACAGAATCTCTGTACTTTCCCCTTTATTTCTAGAAGACTTATTGTTTCTATCTGACTTCCCTGAGTGTGATTGCCTTTTCTCCTTTGTGGGATGTGCTGTAATTCTGATGAGAGTTAATTACATTTGCATAATGTGGATAAACAACTTAATGCAGCTTAGCAACTTGGAGCCAAATTAGATCTGCCCATCTAAATTGGGCTTTCATCATTAACATGTTTCTTAGCCTTCTGGGCCCCTGAAGCCTTGGGTGCAGCCAAGCTAAGGTGGAAAAGTTCTCAGCAGATCATTTGCTTTGTATGCTGGGCTGAAGTGCAGGCTTTGTCTGTCCTAAGCGTCTCTCTGTAGGTCGGCGGGTACCTGCTTTGGCTCGAAGTATTAAGAAGCACCCCTCAGCAAAGCACCCTGAACTCCACTTTCATCTCTTCTGACCTTACCATTTTGACTTGTTGACAGCTGCTTACACTGTTTTTTTCCTGTTAGGTCGGCAGCTTCTTGAGAGCAGGGGTTTCATTCTGTGCCCTTGCTTTCCCTGAGTGGCCAGCATCATAGTAAGGGCTCAATACAAGGCAACGAAATGCATAAAGATCTTTACCCAGTCTAAGACACCAGATCAGGCCCAGCAGAGATGCCATGGGAAAGAGGAGTCTGACTCAGAGGGGTAGCCTTACTCCTGAGTTACCAAGGAATTTATTTGGAATAGAAGGGACCACCCAGGTGTCCTTGGCTGCACCAAACACTGAGAAATGAAAGAGGAAGGAAAAGACCCGTGTTTGCTTTTCCACACAGCCAGTAATGAGCCCTCACAGAGCTCAGCGTGGCACGGACCAGCGGGGCTTCTGGTCCCTATTGGCGCTTGCTGGGTTTATCCTTTTCTATTACGCACCCTGAGTGTAATGTGCATAGTGCTAGGAGTGTGGTGTGCTTAGTGTCAGGAGCCCTTGGTTCTGAGAGTGTTGAGATAGACACATCATTCTTGCTTGTGATGATAGGAGACAACTTGTAATGATTTAAAAAACAAAACAAAAACCCGGGAGCTTTGAGCCTTATCTGGGGTGCCTTGGCCTCTGGCATTTGTACTTTTGGTTAGTTGAATGTAAACAGCCAGTCAATACCCACTGTCTTAGGGGCGGCTCCCGGCCCCTTTCTGGTACTTGTCTCTGTTTTAGATGGGGCAGCATTTTCCTTCCAAACCTTTCCTTATGCTTTCTAATCATCAACAAAACGCAGCCTGATGTCCGTCTACTCACAACCAGGTTTTGCCAGTGGTGACGGAACTCTAAAGTTTCCAGGTAGCACCAACTTCTTACTTACAGATATTTGCCATGTTTTCTAATTTTTACCACTGAAGGTTTGCCGGCAGGTGCCAAGCACATTCAGAGCCCTGAGGCAGGCAACTTCTCTGCTTTCATCCTGACAGGGTGCAGGGCTGATCCAGGAGACACAGTGGCCTCACTCTCTAACAGAGCCACCACAGGGCCACTAGCTCCATCTGCCTAGTAATGAGACAGTAATATTTAGGCCAAATTGAATTTCTTCCCCCTGGGGAGGGCTAGGTTGCTCCTTCATGGCCTGTTTTGTTTTATGAGCAAAAAGTACAGTTGTGAAACCCATCTTCTGTGTCCTGCTGCTGCTGAATCTCGGGTGACCCCAGGGAGCTCAGGCCCAGGGTGAATGAACTGCCTTTGGATGATTGGCTCCCCTGCTGCCCCTTAACTGGCTGCCTGGCCTCCTTTCCTTCTGGTTGTAATGACTTCTGTCATGTGAGCAGGGCTGAGGGACTCACAGTCTCCCCTTACCCCCCTCCAACAGGTGAGTGCTTGTGGCTCTTGACATTCCCCCCACAGTGTGGTTGGCAAGAATTAGCAAGAATCAATCACTATGGTTTGGTGCCTCATACATTCGGCTGCTCATTAAATTGACACCCTGTCATATATTCTACATGAAAATATATCTTATTTAAAGGTGAAAAGGAGGTAAAAGAAATTGGAACTCGAAAGGAAACACTTGGGAATCATCTTATTATGGCATTTTTTTTCTTTTCCCTCTCATCTTTGGGATTATACAATCTAGAGAGATTTTCTTGATTCAGAAAGAAAAATAAAGTAAGTTTTCCCTGACTGTACTTAACCAGTAAGCTTAGCAATACATTCTTTTTCCATTTGTGCCTTTAAGGAGCTTTGAGTTCCCTTCTTGGTTATCACTGTGGATTGTATGGTCACATAAATGAGCAGGGTTTCTACCTGTATGAAGCCCTTAGGATGAATTAAATGTGCTTTTCTCCTGAAAGGTGTGCCTGCTGCTTCTCTGGTGACCCCTGCTGATGTCATCAAGACAAGGCTGCAAGTGGCTGCACGGGCTGGCCAGACAACATACAGTGGTGTCATTGACTGTTTCAGAAAGATACTCCGGGAAGAGGGGCCCTCAGCATTTTGGAAAGGGACTGCAGGTAGGTGCTGGGGCCTCGAGAGCAGCTGGCCACTCTCCTGTCCTGCTGTTTGTTACTCACTGGTCTCCCCACCCTGCTCCTTTCTTCCAGCTCGAGTATTCCGATCATCTCCTCAATTTGGTGTTACTCTGGTCACTTATGAACTTCTCCAACGGTGGTTTTACATTGATTTTGGAGGCCTGTAAGTAATTGCTCAAGTCCTTTATGAAGAAGTTACCCAAATCAAAACACATATTTGTTCTGTTTACAAAAGTACTTTTGGAACTAAGAAAACTGAGACAGAATTCCTTCATGTATTTAAAACAATGGACTTAAAAAGCTTCACTGTTAGAGTAAAGAAGACCTTGTTAGAGTGATACAACATACAGTATTAAATAACTAGAAATGTTTTAGGGAGGCAGCAAATTAAAATGTTATATGAATCACTGTCTCTATTAGTATAAACAAATACTGAGTTTTAGGGGATTGTTATATGACTTTTTATATGGCCCTTTTATCAGAAACAATCTAAATGTGTATTAGTAACACTAGTGAATTTTCTTTGAAATCCTTTTGCACTTATATTTTATTATTCCCTATCACTTATTAGGTAAGTATAGATGTTCACAGAGCTGATGTTCATATATATAGTAATGGAGGGACCTGTGCACATAAAAGATGTAATAAGTCTTACCATCCTGTCGTATAAATACATTTAGGCTTTTCTGGGCATTCATAGTCTGTAGAAGAACTAAATCTTTTTCTCTTTTTGTAATAAGTTTTATGAGCCCACTATTTAAGAAGTTTTAAAGTTATATCAAAATAAAAAATATATACCTTTATGATAAATATACCTATATGACAAAATATGTACCTCTATGTGTCTATTTATGAATGCATATAAGTACTGAAGTTGAGGCCATTTTTTCATCTAAATAAAATATGTGAATGTGGTGCTGTGAAGCATGTATAAATCATGCCTGGTACCGCAGAGATGGCCTGGAGAGGGTTGAGGCAGCCTTTTGTGGCACATAGGTCTGACTGAAAATGTGCAGATATCAGCTGCCCTCACTGGTCTTGAGCTTACTAACCGTTGGTTTTTTCCTGTGAACAGCAAACCTTCGGGTTCAGAACCGACACCAAAGTCACGCATTGCAGACCTGCCTCCTGCCAATCCTGATCACATTGGTGGATACAGACTTGCCACAGCCACTTTCGCTGGCATCGAAAACAAGTTCGGCCTGTATCTCCCCAAATTTAAGTCTCCTACCGTAGCTGTGGTTCAGCCCAAGGCAGCAGTGGCAGTAGCTCAGTGACCGAGGTGCAGGAGAGCAGCCCGGTACTGTGTCCAGTCAGCTGCATGGTGCTGACTGCGCTGGGGTCAACCACTTTCTGTATGACATACATGTATTGTTTATAAAGTGATCATTTGCCCAGGGAGAACCACAGTGCAGTTTCAAGCTTTAGTCTTACTCGTCGAAATGTTTTCTGAGCCTTGGCATGAATTAAGTGTTCTAGACTCTGCTTTGCACAGCTTGTACCTACAGTGACTGTACATATTGTACATCTTTGTACAGAGACACCTTGGCACCTCATCCCAACAAATCACATTTATAGAAATAGAGTGCAGTTCTGAGTGGCTTGAAATGTACAGAATGTTTTAAGTGTTTTATTAAGAATCAAGTAAGAATAAATGTACTAAAATTAAATTCTTTTCTTATTGGTGACTTATGGAAGAAATGCATCAATGTTGGGTGTATCCCATTTCGTTCTGTGTTCTGTTCTGGAATACAAGATATTTGCTGATAAAAGGCATAGAGAGACCTAATGCCCACACCATTGAGGAAGAGATGCTTTGAACAGGTGCATGCCTGCGGATGCCGGAGGACCAGCCAGTGACTTGCGTGTGCTGCTCTGTTTCCATTTGTATTTAACCATGTTCGATCCTCCTCCTATTAATCAGGAGCTCCCTGTCTTCGCACGTGTAAGGAAACAGTGGGCTCCGGCACTGCTCGCTTAGTTTTGCTTTCCTCCTATGAGGCGAGGAAGGCCAAGATGTTGAAAGAGTAAAGGATACTTTGGAAGTTTCCCTTCATATGGTATGATTCCAATCAAAAATAAAAGCACACCAAAATGTATGCATGGAGTTGGATTTTCCTTCTGAAATACACTGATAGTGCTTTTGTCCTACCCAGTGGTGATGCTGAGTAACTCATGACTGGTTTGTCTTCTCTCCTACCTTTAGGAAAGTCACAATTTGCTTTGGAAAGAACTGGGGTGGAGTGAGGGGAGGGAAGAGGAAAGAAGGAAAGTTCCCACATGGTGATTTAGTGGGGCCTAGGTCCTTACAAGGAATCCAAATGGAGGCTACTTGTCCCAAAGTCACCTGGGCGTGCTTATGAATTAGTGACTTCTTCCTGGCCACACCTACACTCTGCTGTGGCTGTTTCTTGATGGGTAGCATTAGGATTTATTTACTTTAGCAAGTGTTCTGAAAAAACATTGCCAAGCCAGGGCATGAGGATGTATGTGAATGTTTTTAAGGGATGAACCTGGAGATGGACCAAGTTACTGAACATCCTACACAGTGCTCATCAGTTGATTGCTGACAGCCCTGTAACCACAACTTTACACTCTAGAGGCCCTCCAGAACAAAAGGATTTTGAAAGCAAGCTATTTCCAGATGTATTAGATTAATGTCATTCGAACTGAATAGATAGCATAATTGCTTAACTACTTGTTAAAAATATACAAATGCCCCTGGATTTGTATTTACATAGATGTATGTATAGAGGATGGGAAAGTGCCTTCTCTGCCTTCTTCCTCCACCACTTCCTGTCATTCCTTGCTAATAGGATATAGATCTGTAGTCTGTTTTCCATATGTCTACATAAATAGATATACATATTTATATTTTTAAAACCAGTATTATGTGATATGTGATTCTATTACTTTTATTAGTATGTCTTTGAGATCTTCCCATGTCAGTCCATAAAAATGTATCTTATTTTTTAGTAGCTGCATAGTATTTCACTGTGTAAACTGTGAAACTTTTTGTAAATACTTCTTGATTGACATTTATTCATTTTCATGATCACAAACAATACCAGAGGGGGAAATATCTTTGTATGTGTATCTTGAGCATACGTGTCAGTATTTCATTAGGATATGGTACTGAAATTGTATTTTTTATATGTACTGCCACATTGTTCTTTACAAAATTCTTAATCCCCTTTCCTTGAGGAAGCAGATGAGAACACTGGTTTCTTAGGCAAATCATGAACAGGTGATCACTGTTCAGTTTTCATTTTCCTAATGGGATTGAATAGCTTTTAATTTAATTTTTTTCCTGTTTTCGGTTTTCATTTATTTTTTATGAGTGTTTTACCTGCATGTATGTAAGTGCACCCATGTTGCACAATGCCTGTAGAGGTTGGAAGAGGGTGTCAGATCCCCTGGACTGGAGTCATAGATAGTTGTTAGCCACCACGTGGGTGTTAGGAACTGAACTCAGGTCCTCTGCAAGAGCAGCCAGTGCTCTTAACCACTGAGCGATCTTTCCAGTCCATTTTCAGTTTTTTGAGACAAGTTCCAACTCTGTAGCCTTGGAGTCCAGAAACTTGCTACGTAGACCAGGCTAGCCTTGAACTTGTTGAAAACCTCTTGTCTCTGCCTCCCAAGTGCTGGGATTATAGGCATGGGCTACCAAACCTGGCTGTTTTTTTCATATTTACTGGTTATCTGTGTATTTTCTTACTATGAAATGTGCAGAAGGCATATTAACTATAAGTATGCGTAGACACACAGAAACGTGCACACGTTAGAACACCCATGTGATCACAAGGTCAAGAACAGGAGGTTTCTAGCACCTCACATTACCCTTGTGCTCCTCCTATTTCCACTCCCTCCACACCACTCCTGCCCCATAATCTTTGTTTCCTATGGCTTTGTTTTTCATTCATATATATATATATATATATGTTTTTCATTCATATATATCCCTGACAACTAGAATTCTTTTTTTTTTTTTTTTCTTTTAAAGACAAGGTCTCCTTATTGTAGCCCAGGCGCTGGCCTCCAACTTGTGATCCTCCTGCCTCAGCCTCCACAGTGTTAAGATGACAGGTATGAACAACCATGCCTGACTTATTGTGTGTATATACATGATGTGTGTGTGTGAATGTAGGCATGTGGGTACTACAGCACATGTGTGGAGGAACTATCTTGGTACTCGCTGTCCACCTTTATGTAGGTGTCTAACTTAAGTATTTAGGCAGCAAGAGCTTTTACCCTCTAGGCCATCTCTCTGGACTTAGTCTGATTCTTATTTTTGAAATTTATATGCATAACATTGTATACTTTTTTTGAAATTTCTTTTGCTAATGTTTGTAAGATTCATTCCTGTCACTGTGTGTAGCTGTAGTTTATTCTGTTGCATGGATTTATTTCAGTTTATTTTCTGTTTTACTGTTGATTAACTTTTTTTTTTTTTCAGTTTGTGGTTATCATAGACAGTGCTGCCATGGATATTGTGAGCATCTATTCTGGAGTGTTCTTTTTTTTTAATTTTTATTTTTGGCCTTTTTGAGACAGGGTCTCCCTGTAGCCTCAGCTGGCCTGGGGCTCACTACGTAAACCAGGCTTGCTTTGAACTCAGAGATCCACCTGCCTCTGCCTCCAGAGTGCTGGGATTAAAGGTGTGTGCCACCATGCTCGGCTCATCTTTATTTCTATTTATTACTGTGTGTGTTTATGATGTGTGGACACATGTTCCACAGTGCATGTATAAAGGTCAGAGGAAAGCCTTGTGGAGTTGTTTCTGTATATCCCACCTTGGGTTCCCAGGATGGAACTCAGGTTGCCAGGCTTGTGTGGTGAGCACTTTAACCTCTAAGTCATGATGCTGGCCCAGCAGTATACATCTTTCAAAGGACACATACATGGGAGTGGAACCAGAGTCACAGAGTTGGTTATGCTCAACTTTACTAGGTCATGAAAAACTGTTTTCCAAAGATTCTTGTACTGTTACATTTTCCTCAACGTGTTTTAGTTTTACCAAAGAGTGGTAGATATAACATCACTGTTTTAATTAGCATTTTCCTTACAGCAAATGAGACCAAAAACATGACATACATTGGCTATTTGGAGTTCATTTAAAAAAATATTTCTTTTTATTTTATGTGTATGCGTGTATTGCGTGCATGTAGGTAAGTGTACCCGTGTTGTGCAATGCCCACAGAGGACAGAAGAGGCTGTCGGATCCCCTGGAACTGGAGTTATGGACAGTTGTTAGCTGCTATGTGGGTGCTTGGATTCAAACCTGGGTCTTCTGCAAGAACAACCAGTGTTCTCAACCACTGAGCCATCTCTCCAGCCCCTGGAGTTCATCTTTGATGAATGAAATATGTCAAAAGTTTTTGCCTGTTCTCCTCCTGAATTGGCAGGGTGTTCTTTTGTGGTTTTCCCTCAGCTCCCTTTTCCTTTGAAGATTTATCTTTTATTTATGTGTATGTGTTTATGTGTGTGCCTGTCCATGGAGGCTTGAAGAAGGGGTCAGATCTCCTGGAACTAAACTTATAGGTTGTGAGCTGCCCAATGTAGGTGCTAAGAACTGAAGCCAGGTCCTCTCCAAAAGCAGCAAGCACACCTAACTGCTAAGCCATCTCGCCAGCCCCAGAGTGTTTTCTGTATATTCTGGATGTTACTTTATAATTTGTTTTACATCACCTTTTTCCTCTTTGTGGCTTGTCTTTTCATAATGGTTTTGATATAGCAACATTTTAATTTTGGTATGTTCAAATGTGTCAATATTTTCTTTATGGTTAGCTTGTTGAGTTTCTCATTTAAAAATTATATGTATTCTGGGACTGAAGCTCAAGGATAGAGAGCTTCCCTAGCATCCACAAGGCCCTAGTTTGCCCCCCTACCTGCCACTTTCTGTCTGTAAAATAAAACAGTAATTTTCTTGTTAAATGCTTTTAGTCTCACCTTTCGCATTCAGGTTTCATCCAGTTTGGAACTCTTTGGCAAATGTGAGGAAAATTCTTGTTTCTTTGTGTGGCCAATCTCTTGTGTCAGTGCTGTGTGTCGAAAACCTGTCCTTTCCTGGTTGCTCTGAAGCATCTTCACTGTTGTGTATTAAGAGTCAATATATGTTTGAATCAATTTCTGGGCTCTGTGTGGGCTCAAGGTCTTTTCTGTGGTGATATATACTCTCTTCCCTATTTTCTCCAATTTTTTTTATATATAGTGTGACCTATGTTTATGACATATAGTAAATCTTTTCCACCTATCACTTGAGCTTATGATTCTTCTAGAATTCTTCTAGATTCTTTGCTTTTGCACACATCTTATTAGCTTACCAAAAACCATTCAAAAACATTGAAAATTTGATTAAATAGTAATGAATCTATAAGATTTTGGAAGAACTTGTATCATTATAATGGGAGTTCTCATCCAGGAACCTGATATAGCTCTACTTAAATCTTTTTCATATCAATAAAAATTTATAATCACCAAGGTGGTATGGTACATCTTGTTATATATGGTCTAAGGATGCTAGTGTATGCAAGCATGTGTGTGTGTGTGTGTGTGTGTGTGTGTGTGTGTGATACTAGGGGTCCAATCCAGGAATCTGCACATTAGCCAAGCACTCTACCATTCAGCTACATCCCAGGCTTTAGTATTTTATAAGATTTATTTTTATCTTATTTTTTTTTTAGTTTTAATTATGTGTATATGTGTGTGGGTATGTGCATGTGAGCACCAGAGGCATTGGATTCCCCAGGACCTGGACTTACAGGCAGTTGTGAGCCACCCTACATGGGTGCTGGAACCTGACCTCTGGTCCTCTGGAAGAGTAGTAAACACTCTTACTGCTGAGTCATCTTTTCAGCTCTATCTTGCCAGTTTGTTTTTGTTCATTTGTTTGTTTTGTTTTGTTGCTGTTTGAGCTGATGTTTTCATAGGGGTTTTATTGAATCTCTAGAGATAGTTTTTGGGCAACTGCCGTCCTAATATACTTGAGTCTTCCAATCCACCATCTTGGAAGCTCTCTCTGCTTATATCAGTCTTTCAAAATTTCATCCATGATTGTAGTGGTTAAAGTACAAGTCTGGTATAAAGAGTGTGGTATATT